TGTTGTTGCTGTTGTTCTTGTTCTTGTTCTTGTTTTTTGTTCTTGTTCTTGTTCTTGTTGTTGTTGTTGTTGTTCTTGTTCTTGTTGTCGTTGTCGTTGTTGTTTCTGCACCGTTGCACTGTCTTGTTGTGGCATTGCCGAGTTGTTGGTTTGTTCTTCCGCTGTTGCGTTCTTGCATTGTCGCGTTGTTGTTTCATGCACTATTGATGTTATTGACACCATCCAAATGAAAAGTGCACGAATGTTGTCCATGTTTCCGTGCTCTGAGAATCCAGCCCAAGGTCCGGCAGTAAACACATGAACCATTAGACACGTCCCGGGTCCTAACTTCACACTCTTCCCAAACCTTTCCAAAACGATATTTTACATATAATGTTGGCTGCCTAATAATAAATACCCCCCGGGACCCCCCCTATTTTTTTTTAGGGGGGGTCCGCATTCCAATAGTAAATTTCTGGTCAGCATTCCTGGAATCTAAGCTTTTGTTAATGAAAAGTGCTTGCTGCTTTGAAAAGGGTTCTGCTTTACTTTTCTATTCTGAAAACAAAATCAGGGGAAGCACAATTGGGATTCATTATTGCCATGCCTGGTGCAGGTTTATTATTGCTATTCTGGGGCTTGCAAAGGGGTACCCTTTGTGGACCTGTTTTCTTGTTTTTTTCAATAAGGGTTTTATAAGGAAATCAGCTGTTTTGTAATTGGATCAGATTTCTGGAATCTAAGCTTTTGTTAATGAAAAGTGCTTGCTGCGTTTTGAAAAGGGTTTTGCTTTACTTTGCTATGCTGAAAACAAAACCAGGGTAAGCACAATTGGGATTCATTATTGCCATGCCTGGTGCAGGTTTATTATTGCTATTCCGGGGCTTGCAAAGGGGTACCCTTTGTGGACCTGTTTTCTTGTTTTTTTCAATAAGGGTTTTATAAGGAAATCAGCTGTTTGGTAATTGGATCAGATTTCTGGAATCCAAGCGTTTGTTAATGACAAGACAAGTATAAATAAAATCCGCCGACCCCGGCCTTCGCCAAGGCAGGGGCGGCGCCTGGGACCACCGGAGGTGTGGAACCTGCTTTGTCACGGCCATGGCCTTCACATTGTCCAAGGCCCTGTGGCCGTCAGCCTCTGCTGTTCCAGCGTTGCAGCCTGCCGTTTGCCTCACATAGCCTCTGTTGTTAGGGCGTTCAAGCCTGCCGTTTACCAGCCTTCAAACCCTTAAAATGCCTCGCCGGCCGTTTGCCTGCATAGCTCTCTCTTGTTAGGGCGTCCATGCCTATAGGGCGCCTCGCGGCAGCTTCCTCGCGGCAGCTTCCACCAAGCCCTGTAGCCGTCAGCCTCTGCTGTTCCAGCGTTGCAGCCTGCCGTTTGCCTCACATAGCCTCTGTTGTTAGGGCGTTCAAGCCTGCCGTTTGCCAGCCTTCAAACCCTTAAAATGCCTCGCCGGCCGTTTGCCTGCATAGCTCTCTCTTGTTAGGGCGTCCATGCCTATAGGGCGCCTCGCGGCAGCTTCCTCGCGGCAGCTTCCACCAAGCCCTGTAGCCGTCAGCCTCTGCTGTTCCAGCGTTGCAGCCTGCCGTTTGCCTGCACATAGCCTCTGTTGTTAGGGCGTTCAAGCCTGCCGTTTGCCAGCCTTCAAACCCTTAAAATGCCTCGCCGGCCGTTTGCCTGCATAGCTCTCTGTTGTTAGGGCGTCCATGCCTAGGGCGCCTCGCGGCAGCTTCCTCGCGGCAGCTTCCACCAAGCTTTGTGGCCGTCAGCCCTTGCTGGTCAGCCGTTGCTGTTCCAGCGTTGCAACCTGCTGTTTGCCTGCACATAGCGTCTGTTGTTACGGCGAGCCTTCAAACCTACAATGCTTAAAATGCTCCGCCGGCAGCTTCCACCAAGCCCTGTAGCCGTCAGCCTCTGCTGTTCCAGCGTTGCAGCCTGCCGTTTGCCTGCACATAGCCTCTGTTCTTAGGGCGTTCAAGCCTGCCGTTTGCCAGCCTTCAAACCCTTAAAATGCCTCGCCGGCCGTTTGCCTGCATAGCTCTCTCTTGTTAGGGCGTCCATGCCTATAGGGCGCCTCGCGGCAGCTTCCTCGCGGCAGCTTCCACCAAGCCCTGTAGCCGTCAGCCTCTGCTGTTCCAGCGTTGCAGCCTGCCGTTTGCCTGCACATAGCCTCTGTTGTTAGGGCGTTCAAGCCTGCCGTTTGCCAGCCTTCAAACCCTTAAAATGCCTCGCCGGCCGTTTGCCTGCATAGCGCTCTGTTGTTAGGGCGTCCATGCCTAGGGCGCCTCGCGGCAGCTTCCTCGCGGCAGCTTCCTGTTGTTAGGGCGTCCATGCCTCGGGCGCCTCGCGGCAGCTTCCTCGCGGCAGCTTCCACCAAGCTTTGTGCCGCCAAGCCCTGTAGCCGTCAGCCCCTGCTGTTCCAGCGTTGCAGCCTGCCGTTTGCCTGTACATAGCCTCTGTTCTTAGGGCGTTCAAGCCTGCCGTTTGCCAGCCTTCAAACCCTTAAAATGCCTCGCCGGCCGTTTGCCTGCATAGCTCTCTCTTGTTAGGGCGTCCATGCCTATAGGGCGCCTCGCGGCAGCTTCCTCGCGGCAGCTTCCACCAAGCCCTGTAGCCGTCAGCCTCTGCTGTTCCAGCGTTGCAGCCTGCCGTTTGCCTCACATAGCCTCTGTTGTTAGGGCGTTCAAGCCTGCCGTTTGCCAGCCTTCAAACCCTTAAAATGCCTCGCCGGCCGTTTGCCTGCATAGCTCTCTCTTGTTAGGGCGTCCATGCCTATAGGGCGCCTCGCGGCAGCTTCCTCGCGGCAGCTTCCACCAAGCCCTGTAGCCGTCAGCCTCTGCTGTTCCAGCGTTGCAGCCTGCCGTTTGCCTGCACATAGCCTCTGTTGTTAGGGCGTTCAAGCCTGCCGTTTGCCAGCCTTCAAACCCTTAAAATGCCTCGCCGGCCGTTTGCCTGCATAGCTCTCTCTTGTTAGGGCGTCCATGCCTATAGGGCGCCTCGCGGCAGCTTCCTCGCGGCAGCTTCCACCAAGCCCTGTAGCCGTCAGCCTCTGCTGTTCCAGCGTTGCAGCCTGCCGTTTGCCTGCACATAGCCTCTGTTGTTAGGGCGTTCAAGCCTGCCGTTTGCCAGCCTTCAAACCCTTAAAATGCCTCGCCGGCCGTTTGCCTGCATAGCTCTCTCTTGTTAGGGCGTCCATGCCTAGGGCGCCTCGCGGCAGCTTCCTCGCGGCAGCTTCCACCAAGCTTTGTGGCCGTCAGCCCTTGCTGGTCAGCCGTTGCTGTTCCAGCGTTGCAACCTGCTGTTTGCCTGCACATAGCGTCTGTTGTTACGGTGAGCCTTCAAACCTACAATGCTTAAAATGCTCCGCCGGCCGGTTGCACCAAGCCCTGTAGCCGTCAGCCCCTGCTGTTCCAGCGTTGCAGCCTGCCGTTTGCCTGCACATAGCCTCTGTTGTTAGGGCGTTCAAGCCTGCCGTTTGCCAGCCTTCAAACCCTTAAAATGCCCCTGCTGTTCCAGCGTTGCAGCCTGCCGTTTGCCTGCACATAGCCTCTGTTGTTAGGGCGTTCAAGCCTGCCGTTTGCCATAACGACCCCACATGGGAATTGTTTCTACCTAACCTCTAACTTCATGATGACTGCGGGATGGTGCAATATATGGTACACGTTTACAGCACTATGGAAAATCACCGTGTTCAATCGGAAAATCAGCTATTTCTATCAGCATGTTTACTCCTTGTGTTCGTTTACCCGCAATACCCTTCTTATCCAAATTACTACTCCTTATCAGCCTTTGCTGTAAACGGTGCTAAACCAAATTTGACCCATCGGCCCCGTGGCCTAAAAATGGTCATGTGGCTGGAACAATAACAAACTGTCCCCCAGTCAGCACCATTTTTATAGGTTGTATAAACTTACCATTCCCAGTTTTGACTGGTTTCTGGCATTGTTTTACCACCATCAATCGAAGTGACCACCTTAGGATTTCCCCTGAATATGGCGAAGGTCTAGGTAGCGTAAACATAGATTGTGGGACAATGAATCGAATGTATTGTTATCAGGGATTTCCGTGTCTGTTTATTGAATGTTGTTTTCATGCATACTTTTGGTGCGCCTTTTCCTTGCGAAGACTACGTCTCACGCAAGGGAGGCAAGACACACCATCCCCAAAATATGAAAACAACATTCCATGAACAGCCACGAAAATCCCTGATATCAATACATTCGATTCATTGTCCCACAATCTATGTTTACGCTACCTAGACCTTCAAAAACTCTAGCATATTTGCACGTTCGGTGCACATGTGGGCCGACCTTTCGCCGCCGCTCCGCCCTGAAAAGGGGGTCGGCGGCACCAGGGCGTTAGCCCATTTATTAAACATAAATTAAATTAAGCAAATTGACTTTTAGTATTGGAGAAAAAATGGAGTTGGGAAAAAAGTTTCCACTATTGCCATGTTGGGTCCACTATTGGCCATGCCCTCTGGACAAGGTCTGAACATGACTCTTTTGGCAATACTAAAAGTAAATGGAGCTAATTGACTTTTAGTATTGGAGATAAAACTGGAGAACCTGCCTACACCTTTGGTATGTTTTATGCAAAGCTCAAAACTCTTGGAACAAATCAGCGTGCAAAAACCCATATGTATCCATATGTGACTTGTGCGATTGGATTGGTTTCGATATATTTTTGGTCCAAAAAAACGAACGTAGTCCTAGTACTACGAAACTTTGCACATGCAATTTTACAGTTAAAAAGTTAAAACCATAAACAACAGGTACATACACAGACATTCATGTACACCAAAACCCGATCGGATATCTTAGCGGGTACCAACCGACATCACCAATTTGATTGATACACTGATGATGATGATGATGATGAGGATGATGAGGATGATGAGGATGATGAGGAGGAGGATGATCAGGATGATGAGGATGATGAGGATGATGAGGAGGAGGAGGACGGATTAGGATGATGAAGACCATGAGGACGGTAATGACGGAGATGATTAAAGGCATCATTTTGCCACCACTCCACTACAATATGCTACAATTGGGTCGGGATGCGACTCGATCGAACTGCCGTCCGTAATGCCTCCTGGATAGGCGGCGTTTGAAGCCAAGTTGGACGTCGTGTCTGTAAAGCCTCTCAGGGCCGTTTCCACCTTTGTTACTTCTTCAGAACCGATTGATAGTGAGTATGTACAATGACACTTGAAGTGGTTGGCATGGATTTTTCAGTGCACTTTTCCCACTTTGCTCTAGACTTCATTCATGTCACTGCTCCAATGTATCGAAATGTCCTGCCTTCACCTGCGTCAACCAATTGTGTCAGGATTTCTTCCAGGAAGCCCAAGAACCATTCTTTACCTGCCTGCAGTGCCAATGACTCTGGGCAAGAATCATGTGGGGCAATCCTCCGGTGAATCCGTTTGGTCTGTTTTTGCCCAAAAACATGTGAAGATCTGTACGGCTAAGTTTTCAGGCGCAATTTTTTGTCGTGTGCTGGACACATCGGACACATCTGCATTTTCATGGCGCCTTAAAGGCGCCGACGAAGAAGTTCCCCACATTCTCTGCCGCTTCTTGGACTGAATCCACAAATTCTTCCGTGAATCTTTCGATGGCTTGGACTACCCCCGCAACGAACCTCATTGACGTCTACTATACACCACTCAGGCTATATACTCAAGAGTGAAATCTGACAAGCAAGTCAGCAATCTTTCCTGCACCTCGATCCTTCAAACAGGAATCCAAGTCAAGGTTCAAGAAACTTAACAGCTGACTTTGCCTGCGCTTCAGTCCACGTCGCGACATTTGAGAAAAAAGCGCCAACTGTGCCTGACCGCAAGGCCCCGAAACCATTGGCCGATACATTCGATAGGTAGCTGGCGGAATTTCAGGGAGCATCCAGTTACTCTTGATGACGACGGTCACTCTTGCTGTGCCAGTTAACTATATAACTATCTCGAACCCGACGAAAAGTACCAAGAACAACTTCACCAAACTGTCCCAAATTGAATCGAAATCTCTCCCAAAGCGTTTGACGAAGCGCCTACTACTTTTACGGTGTTGTCGATTGCGGTCTTGACGGCTTCGGAGCTTAGCTGCGGCGCAAATCGCAAAAAAAATGTGACAAGGTCTGAGTGAATGCGAGGTCTGAGTGAATGTGACGTATCAAAACAAAACTTATATCAAATCAAATTATATCAAATTATACACGGCGGTTCTCATGTTTTTCTCGACTGTAGTTCGATAATTCATAGGTTTGTGCGAGAGGCATTATGGATGATTATGGTGATCATGACATTAGTGTGGATAGTGGGGGCCACTGGGTCCACTGGGTCGTCGGATTCCACAGGCCTTTTACGAAGGGTGCTTCACAGTATGGCCTTTCAAATCCCCTCAAATGGTTAGATCTAAAACATTCCACCAGTACTCTGGGGGCCGGGGTTAAATTATTGAATTTGCTCCAAGTTGCACTGTATCGGTGACCGTGTCTACTGTATCGGTGACCGTGTCTACAACAGCCGTTGTACCCTGCTGTAGTGGTTTTGTAGCCGTGTCTACTGTATCCGACCTCAGCGGCGCAAACCGACGAGATTGGGGTCTGTGGTAATATCATGCTGAATGTGAAGTGATTCCCACGCGCTTCCCAATGATCAAATTCGATTTGCGTTATCCATGCCATGACTATATAGTAATAGATTAGAGCAGGAATCGATTCAAATTTTCTGTTTGACCTTGCCTTCGGCCTACACATGTCATCACCTTTCCGTACCTGGAAACAACCCTATTTCATCCTATTTCACTCTGTCGCTACTGTCTGCTGCAGCTGAAGTTCACTGCATTAAAGACCGGGTTCCGCCGCCGTCTTCGGCCATCAAAGAACTCGCTGCCCTGATCCATCAGTTCAAGGCCAGGGTTTTCAGAACTTTCACGATCTTCAGAAGCCTCCTTTCTTGCTGCGAAGCCTCCATGATCTACAAGATTTGCCTGGCCTGAAAAAAGCGCGCAAAAAACAAGCAAAAGGATGCAAATGGGAAAGGTGACGCCGCTTCCCATGGTCATGGAAAACACACCGTAAGTTTTTCTACTTTTGATATTAAATTTGCAAGCGGGGCAAACAGGGATGTTTTTTTCATTGGGGCAAAAGAGCCTGCAGCACGTCGCTGCAGTTGGGCATGTCCATGCCAGTTTGTGTGAAACTTCCCAAATGCCTTTGACCTTTCAAAATCTACATGCACCCCGCCCTTGGTAGCTGAGCCGTCGTACCTCACAGTCTACCACATGCGCATCTGTACTGGGGTGTGTGGAAAGGTCTGCAGGCCCAAGGCTCTTATCTACACCAGCGCAAAACATAAACTAGCAGCATTGACTGTAGTTCCCCTAGCTGGCGCTGGTCATCCACTCTGATCAGTGGGCGCGTGCTGAATTGGTATCTTTTTTGCCACGGGCAATGATTGCTCACCACCATGCTCTGATCAGTGGGCACGTGCTGAATTGGTACCTTTTTGCCACGGGCAATGATTGCTCACCACCATGCATGCAGTGACCACCGCCCAAAAGTGGGCACTGTCTATCCCGCCTGCCATGGACCTTCTGGTCCTTCACCATCATCGGCTTCGCGATCACGGCATTCAGCTGGAGGCCCCGACGTGGGGTCAGACCCCGAAATGGAATCATCTCCATCGTCATCAGCGCTGCACCATCAGTGGCAGCAGCAGGGATCTCAGTGGATCCGTCAGGGATTGTATAGGCGCCACAGGCCCAGCCGTAGGAGCACCAGTCACCGTAGAGGTCGGCAGGGCTGTAGGTCGCCAGCATCTTCTTCTTCCTGGATTGTCTCCAGGTCATCGCCACAAGCATCATTGGCATTGCTGTCGTCTTCGCTTTCCACGGCCTCATCGTAGACCTCTGAAGGCGACTCATCCGAGGTAGAAGCCCCTGTTGCCATAGAGCTCGAGTAGAGCGCATGCCACCTGGACACATATCCGATGCCTGCCACTCTTCGACGAGTGTGCCACCTGGTTGGTCGGCGCAAGATTTCGCATCTCAGACTGAAATCCTCCGTGTCTCTGTCAAAGCTCTTGTCTTTGCCCATGTCCTTGCCCAGAGTACGCCTTATTGAAAAGATTCGATGGAACACCAAACACTCTTCAAGGAAAGTTCAAGAAAACAATAATGAATGAACAACAAGTCACTCCAGACAAATGCGCCGCTTGGCCTCCTCCACATTGATGGCAAATGCTCCTTCATCATAGTACCTTAGACAACAGTTTGTCCATCAAGACCTAAACTCAAGTCATAACAAGTTCTTTCTAAACTGAATGAAACCTCACAAATATCTCACAAATAATGTGTAAACACTTAAATTCAACATGCAGGAACATTGCGCAACTGCTTCAATTCAATATTCTATTTGATCAAAACATAAAACAAAAATAGAACCCAAGTTCAAAACGAGTGACAGCTTGTGGATTTGGCCCACAGCTGAAACCAAGAGGTTGTTGGACAAACGTACCGACAATTGTAGCCCCCTTAGCCATCAAACAATTGTCATGAATGGCATCCCCATGAATTAAGAAACAACACCAATACCCAAAGAAAGACACAAGTAGATTGAAACACTTCACATTGAAAATCCACTCTCAAAATATACACTGCTGATAAATAATAAACAAAAAACTCCCGAAGATCTTCTCGAGGATTCGGGTTCGCACGTGTCATCTTGCGAACAACGAATTGGGTGCCCTCCTCACCCATCCCGCACAAGTACTCAAACACAAGTTCCGTGGACACCTGTGAGTCCATTGGGCGTTCCGCTTCACCATGAAGAGCCATGACAAATGACGACAAATGACGACAAATGTCAAGTCAGCCGGGTCGAAAACAGCGAAGTCAAAACTCTTGGGACAGATGTCTGCGGTGATCGGCCAAGATATCAATTTCGAGTGGCAACTGCAATGATCAATGACTGGAATGACGAAGCCATAAAATACAGACGTGTGGGCAACTAGCCAAGAGAGTTGACACAGAACCCATCCCAATGCCCAAGACAAGTCAGTAGCACCTGTGTCAGTGACCTTCACGATGAAGAGGTGTTGATCAAGTTCATGACGAAGAGAAACCAAGAGCAGCGGCGGGGCAAGACAGTGGACAAGTAAGGAAAACAATGTAACTAGTAAGTATGTATATGGTATAATCAACCAGAGGATATCAAATATTTTAATTTCATGTATTCATATCATATGATATCATATGCATATATAGTTTTAAAATGTTTTAAATAACATAAAGTCTCTGCAAACAAAATGTGGCAAAACAAAACTGTAGCTGCAAACAGTTGACTTGAAAAGAAAACAAACTCGTGGGTCACGTGATCTTGTTCGATTAAGCTTCCTTATTCAAAACTCATTGTTTCTCAAAATTTCTCTTTTTCCCATGTTTTCTCATATTTTCCCAGGTTTTCCCATGTTTTCCCACGTTTTCTCATTTTAAAACTTTTTAAAACTCAAAATTTCTCAAAATTTCATTGCAAAAAAGATACCCTATCCAGAACCCACCTAGTTCAAGGTATAGTACATTACAGTTGGTGAAGAAGGGGAGAAAGATGAAGGGAGAGGAAGAGACTGACTGATCTTTGAGAGTTGTGATTGATGAGGATCAGAGATTTTCTTCCAAATCCCTTTCTCCCAGGGAAGTTGAAAAACTGGACGAGGGCCATGGCGTTCAACGCAAGCCCTAGCTTCACGGAGCTCATGATGAAACGAACTAGAAAGATTCATAATAATGAATTTGAGCCTGAAGAAAATAGAGAGAATAATGATATCTGGTCAACCGACCAGTGAGTGCCATTGCGCACGGGCCAATCGGCCAGACGAGGGCCACAATGGTGGTCCTGACAAGATGAGCAACTGATGCAAAGCGTTGGAACGCTCAAATGTGATGCAATTTGGTTGAATCAACGGATGAAAACGTTGAGAAATTGAAACTTGAAGTGAAGAGAGAATATTGGCCTGGAGAGGTGATACCTGAACGAAGAAATCCCATTGAAGACGAGGAAGACGAAATGAAGCCCCGTCAGGGCAAGAAATGACTCAAGAATGTGCGTGTGATTGCCTAAGTTTGGAAGAAGCAACTCAAAAACAAGGAAATTAAAACGACAGTTGCCAACTGAATGAGAAATGAGTCCGAAGGCGCTCCCCTTTTTCGGAGGCGGGTGTGTAATCCGTTCAAATGCCATTTGAGTTGGCATTTGGCCTTGACTTCTAACCATTACATCGCCCCAAGAAGTCCTTGCACTGGTCTTGGTGTTTCATCTCCTTGGTCCCATTAATCAGTAGGAACCGGAGGTAGACTTCCAGGAGTTCCCGGAATCTGCGGCAAGGCGGCCAATCTCAGCCCATCCACCACAGCTGCATCTTATACCCTTTGAGACCAAAAAGGGTTCACCTGTTCATCCCCATTCATGTAGAGATGCCCTTCTCGCTGTCCAGGTTCGCTTCTTCCTCGTCGGTGCACCATGTTTCAGCAACGCGAGGCTCGGTTTGGGTTCATAACCTGCTTGCGGAGCAGCTTGAACACCTATTTTTCTTGGGCTAAAAGAAGCCTGCGGAGAGACTGTCAGTGAATCACCCCCACAGGAAGGTTTAGTCTGGGCTTAGTGTACAGATACTACACTTGGTCATAGCCTGAAAGGCCGGGGTTGAAAATGCTACATGCACCTACCAAATGACTATTAAATGAACAAAGGAGTTCCTTACAAAATGACTGGCCCCAACCCAGCCAAGTTTTCAAACTGCATTTTGAGATTGCTATATGATAATGATTCTATGCGTAAATCATCTATTTTATGGCTCTTACAATATGGCAAGGTGCAAGCAGGCTCCCTACAAAATGGCATCCGAAATTGGCCTTGCACCCCTTCAAATTAGCACATGCTACAAAATGGCTGGGCTCTTGAAAGTGATTTCCTACAAAATGATCCTAGAAATCGGGCTTATATGGGCCTAGAGGCCAGCCAGTTCATATAGGGGAAATTTTAACGGGGATCTTTCGCCCTTGCTTCCATGGCGACTGCGCGTGCTCCCTTTCCGGGATCCTGGGCGTCCTCTAAACGATCCTCGATCCTGGCGGTTCTCCCTGGTCACGGATAGAGGGGCTGCGCTGCAGCTGTTGCTCTCTTTGACTCAACCATCAGCTGCGGCGGCATCTAACTTTGACCCGGCCAGCGCAACCGTCTCAGGTCTTCGCGGCCCAGCCTGCAGTTCCACTGGCGCAGCCATCTCCGCGAGCTCAGCCGCTTCCACCCTGACAGAGTGCGCATCATCGCTATAGTCACCTGAAGATGAATCCGGCACAGCCGACGGATCGCCGTCTCGGCCTTCACACGGCCAGAGCTCCGCTACCAATGCGTGCAAATGGTATATCCCACAAGTCGTAAGTTTTTTGTGGTCGGGCTCAGAAACCATTAGAAAAACACCCAGGGTCGCAGCCCAGGCGCAGCCTTTTTCGCTAGCAATCGCTTGGGGCCAAACACTAGATATTTACAAGCTCAAATGCAGCTGCAAGAAATCTAGCCCATGCATGACCAGCAAGCAGCATTGCTCATATTTGCTACAAAATGCCTTTGCTTAAGTGGGCAGGTTGACCCTCCATGTTAACCGCTACAATTGACAAGGTTTCTAACTGGGGTCCTTGATAGGACCCTATGACCCCTCTACAAAATGGTAATTCCAGCCACTACATGCATTCTTCAAAAATGAGCTCGGGTACCAAAAAATAGATCTTATAGCCTTATGGCTGAATCTAGTTCGCTAAATCTAGAGCCCAAACGAATCCAAGTGGTTGTATAATGTTATATACCTAGAGCCCAAAAGAGTCCAAGTGTTTCTGGCATCCCCGGTTACGCCGTGTCGCTGGCCTTCTGCAAATATTGGCCGGGTTCTATTCACCTTCACTTTCGGGCTTCTCCTCTTCCGGGCTGTCCGGGCTGTCTCTTGCTTAACAGCTGCCTTTTGAATCGCGTGCCTGTTTGGAATGTGTGCTTTTCCTTGTGACTTCAATGCAGCCTGGCGTTCCTTCATCTTGGTTTGGTATACTGCAGGGTCGCGGTACCCAGGTACCTTGTGCACTTTCTCCGGATCCCAGTGGGATCCAAATGTGCTACCAGGCTTTGTTTTGTAAAAGCCTCGCTGAACGGGAACATCCAACCTGCCTGCTGAATGATCCTCTTTACTCATCGAGAGTCTGGACAGCCGGCGCCGTGGCCGAGGAGTCTCAATGGAGTTTTGCCTTGGCATGCAAACCAAAGGTGGCGAACCATCTCATTTGTCTTTAAGTTGACATCAATATTAAAGGACCAGAAAACCCCACATGCTAAGCCTTCCGAAAGTTATGAACAGAAAGGATTGGATGATGGAACGGAGAAAACGGGAATCGAAGGCAGATAGGTTTGGAAGTGGACGGCTGGAGGGACAGGTAAGAAAGAAAGATTTAGATAGGCAGAGAGAACAGACAGACTGAGACATGGTTTAGATAGGGTTTAGACATAGTTCAGACACGGTTCAGAGACAGCTCGGACGCGGTTTGGTGACAGTTCGGACCGGTGCACGCGGGATCATCAGGAAGCACCTTCTGGCATCCGTTTTGAACCTACGTCATCCTCACGTTGGACTATATACGCCGCTAAAAACCATGAGGAGCACCTTATTAGAGCTATGGATAATATAGGCCGCAATACGTCGGGATTCAAAGACCTCCGTGTGACCCTCCGAACAACCCCAACAGCCATCAGGAAGCACCTTCTGGAATCCGTTTTTGCGCTACACTGTCCCCACGTTGGGGCTATGTTGAAGGCGTGCTGTGCCTTTTTGTCGCTGGTTCAGACACCGTTCAGACACGGTTCAGCACGGTTCAGACTGGTTCAAACACAGCTTTTCTCGTTTATATCCGCTAGTTTGGCTATAGCGGGACCTCGCAAATCTGAAGCCGTGTCTGAAACCAATCTGGAACCAATCTGAAACCAGTCTGACACCGTGTCTGAAACCAATCTGAACCACTCTCAAGCCGATTGAAACCACTCCCAAACCAGTCTGACAGCAGTCTGAAACCCATCTGAAACCGTGTCGAAAACCAGATTGAAACCGAATGTGAATCGAGTCTAAAACCAGCCTGAAACCGAAGATGCGTCTGAAACCACAATTTGAAACCACTCAGAAACCCTGTCCGAAATCTTTTTGAAACCCCTCTGAAACCTTGTCTGAAACCAGTCTGGAACCAGTCTGAAGCCAGTTTGAAGCCAGTCAACCAACATCAAAAACGAAGCTATTCTGGGAGACTTCCTCATTTTTTCAAGTTGATAACATCAAAAACGAAGCAATTCCTTCAAAAATGGAAAGTTGAGTGCAGAGCTGATGGCCTCGCACCAATGCGTTTTGCGATTTTTCCAGTCAATGTCTCTGAAGCATTGCGCGTGCCACGAAAAAGTGATGCCAGGTCATACAAAGTGCTGCACCTGTCACACAAAATCATTTTCCCAAAACTGACGATCTGATGCTCCAAAATGCAACCCCTCCCAGTAAATCAGCGCCCTGACCTCCGAACAGCTCTGATGAACATGTCTCTTGTACTGCGCCTGACAGCCTGCCACTCTAAAGACATCTTGCCAGATCCTCTTCAAATGTCCCACGCCTGCCATCGTTTTTGGAAATGCTACAAAACCCTCGCGTTTTGCTCACTTTTGACAAGGTGCACAATCCCTTGCGCCTGCCACGCGAAACGACATCTGAACGTCCAAAAGTGGTCCGACAATGGTGTGTTTTGTACATTTTAACTTGGACATGTGCTTCGCGCCACAACGGCGTGCACTTTTTCGACATGTCAACTTCCAAAAGTGGTCCGAGGATGGTGTGTTTTGTACATTTTAACTTGGACATGTGCTTCGCGCCACAGCGGTGTGCACTTTTTCGACATCACAACTTCCAAGAGTGGTCCGAACATGGTGTGCTTTGCGCATTTTGTCCAAATGTGCTTCACGCCACAACAGCGTGCACTTTTTCGACATCTCAACTTCCAAAAGTGATCCGAGAATGGTGTGCTTTGTACATTTTGACTTCCAAATGCGCTTCACAGCACAACGGCGTGCACTCTCAACTTCCAAAAGTGGTCCGAACCTGGTGTGCTTTGCACATGTTGACTTCCAAATGTGCTTAGCGCCACAACGGCGTGCACTTTTTGAACGTCTCAACTTCCCAAAGTGGTCCGAACCGGGTGTGTTTTGTACATTTTGACTTCCACACGTCCTTCGCGCCACAACGGCGTGCAATTTTTCATCTCGTATCTGGCCACATGGCTCTGCACCCGCCGCTTTAGTGAGCCTACTTTTCGACCCTCCAGGGCCACAAATCATTGGAAAAACATGGAAAAACACAGTGAATCGCGACTTTGCTACCTTTTCGCGCACCTGCATCTTCTTTCTTCTGACTCTTTCTCTTCTCTATCTTCTCTGATCTTCTCTCTTCTTCTCTTATCTTCTCTGACTCTTCCCACCCCTGCTTTTCCATCTGTCCATATTGTCGGAAGTTTGACTTCTAAACTTCCTTCAACAAGAGTCCATTATTCTGATATATTCTGATCACATCTGAGGATACCAAGGATTGTCATGGATGATCTATGGAACCTTCTGCTCCAGAAGAAAATTTTAAGTAGCTGCAGGGGAGGTTTCCAAAAGCCTGCAAAAACACATGAAAACTGTGACCTTCAAGTATGCCTTTTTTTGAGACTCACAAAAAGACTAAAAAGACATGAGCATCTAGCAAGCAAATGCAAAATTTGGAGGGGAGGTGGCTAAAATGTAAGTTACGATGTCCCACAGGCTAACGGGGTGGGGATATTTCCTTACTTAAGGGGGTATCACTCTTCAAGGTTGCCTATCGCTCCCCACAGGAAATCACACATGTTCAAAAGTGAATACAACATCTGTACATACCATCTTTTGACCCTGGCTCACATGGTCACCAAGTGCCGCGCCTACTACGCAAAAGCAGCCGCGGCGTGAAAGGGCAGACAGTTTACAGAGGGTGAACCAATTGCCGCACCTGCCACACGAAGCAGCCGCGGCGTCTCAGCGTCCAGAGAAGTGCCGCGCCTGCCAGGCATCCAGAGAGTCTACGCAGACAAGTTGATAGAGAGGAGTTGATAGAGAGAAATTGACGTTGATAGAAGGAAGTTGATTGATAGAAAAGGCAGATGAATGTAATAGAGACACGAGGATGATAGAGAGAAGTTGACGTTGATAGAAGGAAGTTGATTGATAGAGAAGGCAGATTAATGTGATAGAGGCAAGTTGATAGAGAGAAGTTGACGTTGATAGAAGGAAGTTGATTGATAGAAGGATAGAAAAGGCAGATTAATGTGATAGAGACAAGTTGATAGAGAGAAGTTGACGTTGATAGAAGGAAGTTGATTGATAGGAAAGGTAGATGAATGTGATAGACACAAGTTGATAGAGAGAAGCTGACGTTGATAGAAGGAAGTTGATTGATAGAAAAGGTCGATTGATGTGATAGAGACAAGTTGATAGAGAGAAGTTGACGTTGATAGAAGGAAGTTGATTGATAGAAAAGGCAGAATGATTGTGATAGAGACAAGTTGATAGAGAAGTTGACGTTGATAGAAGGAAGTTGATTGATAGAAAAGGCAAATGAATGTGATAGAGAGAAGTTGACGTTGATAGAAGGAAGTTGATTGATAGGAAAGGTAGATGAATGTGATAGAGACAAGTTGATAGAGAGAAGTTGGCGTTGATAGAAGGAAGTTGATTGATAGAAAAGGCAGATTAATGTGATAGAGACAAGTTGATAGAGAGAAGTTGACGTTGATAGAAGGAAGTTGATTGATATAAAAGGCAGGTTAATGTGATAGAGACAAGTTGATAGAGAGAAGTTGACGTTGATAGAAGGAAGTTGATTGATAGAAAAGGCAAATGAATGTGATAGAGACAAGTTGATAGAGAGAAGTTGACGTTGATAGAAGGAAGTTGATTGATAGGAAAGGTAGATGAATGTGATAGAGAGAAGTTGACGTTGATAGAAGGAAGTTGATTGATAGAAAAGGCAGATTAATGTGATAGAGACAAGTTGATAGAGAGAAGTCGACGTTGATAGAAGGAAGTTGATTGATAGGAAAGGCAGATTAATGTGATAGAGACAAGTTGATGGAGATAAGTTGACGTTGATAGAAGGAAGTTGATTGATATAAAAGGCAGTGTGAAGTTGCATGCCTTGCACCTTTCCCCATGTTCATGTTTCACTCTGGCCTACCGCCACTATCTGGCCCAGGGTGGGCGCGTACGACCAAACAAATGGCTTCGCTGGCCTGAAAAGGCATTTCTTTGCTGCTGCGGCCTGGCACTTCGTGCGGCTGGGCTTGGAGCTAGGCGTGACTATCCTGGCTTTTGCATTGGTAGCGGAGCCAACGATCTGTTGGCCCTGGCTATCTGATCCAAGTGCTGGACTTCCTACTGAATACCAACGGCCATAAGACCTTCCAGCACCTGATTTGGATCACGGAATTCGAGGGTACGGACTTCCTAAGGAATGTCTACTGCCGCTACATCACCGGAGAGCCCTACACAGCGCGACTCCTACATCCCTGTGTTCACTGGACAGCCGGCTGACTATCGAGAATGGAGGAAAAGATACAGCTGTACCATGCAAAGATGGCCCTTAGCAACCGCCGTGGTGAAGCAGTCATCAACTTGGTGAGCACGTTGACTGGCGCTGCATGGCGCTTGATGGAAGACTTCGACGTGACGACAGCTGAGAAGGAAGGAACTTTCGATGGCATCCTGAAGATCCTTGACCAGCACTTCGAGTACGATAGCCGGGTGCAGCTGCCTGCGGACTTCGATGCCTACTTTGGGCTTTCGAGGAAGTCCGGGCAGTCTTTGATGGAGTTTGTGACGCTCCACAATGAGCACCTGAAGCGCTTGTCGAAGCATGGCGTTGACTTGCCCAATGCCGTGCAGGGCTGGCACCTTCTACGACGCTGCAACATCACCAAGGAGCAGAAGCAGTTGATCACCTTGAGAGCGCCCCAGCTCGAGATCGCCAAGGTCACTGAGGCTTTGTATCTTGTGCTTGGGCAAGATTACAAGCATACAACCCAAGCTGGTTTTCATGACCGACGTGGCTTTGGAAAAGGTGGTCGCGGACGTGGCTATGTGGCTGTGGATGCGGCGGACTTTGAAGAGCCCTACAACTATGGTGATGGATGGACTGATGAATGGGGTT